TTTTTTCTTAGACATTTTCTTGATGATTTTGTCTCTTCTGAAGGCTTTAAGCTATGTGCTGATGACACCAAGAATTATATTTCTAGTTCAAATCTCTCCTGAGATTTGTCAATCCAGTTGCTTACTGGAAATCTACTTTTAGATAACTAGAATTGAGCCCATCTTATTCCCCTCCAGACTGTTTTTTTTTTTCCTGTGTTTCCTACCTTAGTAAATGGCATTACAATCCACTCATTTGCAAAAACAAATTAATGACATTTTTTGTATGGCAGAAAATCAAATAGATGGCACAATTAAAAATAAGTGAAGTCAAAATGAAAATGAAAATGTTTTTAATCTCAAAAAAAGGGCTAGTTTCCTTTGTATACAGATAAGAAAAGGACTGAAAACCCAGTGGAAAAATGATTAAAGAACAAGTAGGTGATTTTAGTTTCTTAATCATATTGAAAAGATGGTCAACTTCACTCATAATAATACAAGTTAAGTCTACACTGAGCTAATAAGTTTTCATCACAGATTGGCTAAAATCCAAATACTTTCATTAAATACCCTATTGGTGAAACTGTGGGAAAGAAGGGCTCTAATATATTGCTTGTTGGAGAATAAATTGGTACAAACTCTATGAAGGACAACTTGCTGAAATCAGTATATGTGTATATATATTGATAGAACGTACAAGTATAATAGGTAAAATGTACCATAATGTAATCAATAATTTTAATAATTACCATATAGTTATTATAATAGTGATCTTATGTTATACCACATAATGTGATTATATACTTGTCAGTATATCTACTTTTATATTGATGTGTGTATGAATGTGTCTGTATTCTCAGTTTCATTTCTGGGAATTTATTCCACATATATTCTAGCACATGTATTAATTGACTTATACATAAGGTTACTCATCGCAGCATTGTTTATCGTATCAAAAGAGAACCTGGATGTCCATAAGCAAAGGACTGGGCAAGTAAGATGTGCTGTATCTCTGTAATTGAATAGAATGCAGCTGTAAAAAAGAACAGTGATGCTTTATACAGGTTTAGAATCTCTTATCTGAGATGCTTGGGACCAGAAGTGTTTCAGATATCTGAATTTTTTTTTTTTTTTTGTATTTTGAAGTATTTGCATATACATGATGAGATATCTTGGGGCTGGGACCCAAGGCCAAACATTAAATTTGTTTTGTATCTGCATTATACACATAGCCTGTGGGTAATGTTACACAATATTTTAAGTAATTTTCTGCATGAAACAAAGTTTGCATACATTGAACCATCAGAAAGCAAAGGTGTCACTATCTCAGCCACCCATGTGGACAGTCTGTGGGGTTGTTTGGCATCACCATCATTTCTGACTCTGAATTTACATGCTACTGATAAGCAATCATTTTCTTATACTTGCTCATGCATAAGTACTTACCTGTAAAAAACATGGCGTAACATTAATACAGTGGAAAATAAATATGATCAGGGTAATTAAGCAGCACAGTAGCATTACCAGAATACCTGTATCAGCTTTTAAACAGCAGGAACAACAAACAACGGCAGGCTTTTAGTTTTCACCTATGATGCTGATTTTTGATTGAAAGGTTACTACTATACACTGTGTGCGTTTTTGTTTTGTTTTGTTTTGTTTTGTTTTGTTTTGTTTTGTTTTTTAAGGTGAGAAGAAACATCAGAAGCAGCTGAGGGACCAGGAAATAGGTCCGCTGGGGATAAGGAAACGTTCTGCTGGATGGCTTTTTAAAATGTTTCCTCTAGAATCGTCTGCCTCATTAACAATGGCTTTTGTCTTAGAAGTCTCTCTTTGCCAGGCGCGGTGGCTCAAGCCTGTAATCCCAGCACTTTGGGAGGCCAAGATGGGCGGATCACGAGGTCAGGAGATTGAGACCATCCTGGCTAACATGGTGAAACCCCGTCTCTACTAAAAATACAAAAAAACTAGCCGGGCGAGGTGGCAGGCGCCTGTAGTCCCAGCTACTCGGGAGGCTGAGGCAGGAGAGTGGCGTGAACCCGGGAGGCGGAGCTTGCAGTGAGCTGAGATCCGGCCACTGTACTCCAGCCTGGGCCGCAGAGCGAGACTCCGTCTCAAAAAAAAAAAAAAAGTCTCTCTTTGATGTTATAAACTGACGTGATTTCTTGTTCTGTTAAGAATGCATTCTACTTTAGTCCTAAAATAACCCCATCACACCATGTCATCTTCTGGCACTTTTTCTGCAATGTTAACATCTTCTTCATTGTTACTGCTACTACTACCATAACCTTGATTCAGAACCATTTCTGCTATTTCTTTTTTCTTTTTTTGAGATAGGGTCTAACTCTGCCACCCAGGCTGTAGTGCCATGGCGTAATCTCAGCTCACTGCAACCTCCACCTCCCAGGCTCAGTCTCCCAAGTAGCTGGGACCACAGGCATGTGCCACCATGCCTACCAAACGTTTGGTATTTCTTAATAGAGACAGGGTTTTGCTGTTTGCCCAGGCTGGTCTCGAACTCCTGAGCTCAAGCAATACGCCTCCCTTGGCCTCCCAAAGTGCTGGAATACAGGCATGAGCCACCGCGCCCCGCCCATTTCTGCTATTTTACCATTGGTCAATGAATGAGCAACTGTAGACTCACTATCAATGTTAAAAACTTACTTGATATCCATTTCTTCCAACTTACTGACAGACTCTGAAGGTATTTTTTTTGGCATATGTAAGAAAGTCAAACATCTTTTTATTTTTATTTATTATTGTTTTTAAAATTTTTAATTAATTTATTTTTTTGAGACGGAGTCTTGCTGTGTTGCCCAGGCTGGAGTGCAGAGGCGCAATCTTGGCTCACTGCAGGCTCTGTCTCCCGGGTTCACGCCATTCTCCTGCCTCAGCCTCCCAAGTAGCTGGCACTACTGGCGCCCGCCACCACGCCTGGCTTATTTTTTGTATTTTTAGGAGAGACGGGGTTTCACCATTTTAGCCAGGATGGTCTCGATCTCCTGATGATCCACCAGTCTTGTCCTCCCAAAGTGCTGGGATTACAGTCATGAGCCACCGCGCCTGGCCTATTTTTTTTTTTTTTTATCTTGACATACAGAATCCTTCAAAGTCACTGCCTTGTTCATCATCATTACTGAACATAGTTGCAAGCTAGAGATTGTGTCAGGTATGCACAACTGTGTCTTTAGATACTGTGTTCCAGTCATTGACAATAGCATATACAATATTCTAAATGCTAAACTGCTTTTGAAAACCTTACACGCTCATATGTCTGTTCACTGCTGCAGATAGGCTGTTCAAGAAAGTGTTTTTATATTTATTCTTTATTGATCTGAGGATACCCTACTCACTTGCTGAATTAATGAAGTCACATTTGGGGGAAAGTACATGGAATAAACATTATTTTTAATGAGATTTTTCAGCAGGAGGATGAGCAGAACAGTTGTCAAGGAATAACAAAATCTTGTAGTCATCATCCAGTCCAGCTTCCCTGCAGCAAACCCGAACCACTGCTACAAAATGTTTGTGAAACCAATCAGAAAAGATGTCCGTGGTGACCCATGCCTTTTTGTTAGTCTAGTAATGAACCCAGTCTTTCCCACACAGCAGGTTTACACTTAGTGTGCCTTCTGTGTTAGCACCTCCCAGCACAGTTACTCTGTCCATGGCATTCTTATCCGGTAGGGGCTGTAGTCAGAGTCTTTCTGGGGAACTAACACCAAACTGTGATGTTTCATTAGCATTATAGACTTGTTCTGGTGTCAGATTTTCATCAGTGATGGCCTTGGCAAACTTGTCAATGAATTTTTCTGCTTTTTCATGATCAGCAGTTGCTTTATCACCACAAATCTTTAAAAATTTAATGTTGTGTCTTTTCTTAAATTTCTGCAATCAGCCTGTTGAATATTCACAGTTCCCTTCAATTTTCAGTTCATCGTGATATATCTTTGCTTGTTTCATGAGCACCATACCATTAAGTAGTATGTTTCTCTGCCATGCTGACAGATTTACTCTTTCAGTATACATTTGAGATCTTCATTTTGGTTTTCTGCAGTTAAAAAAAATTTTTCATTAACTTCTGTTCATTGACACTTCAGCGTAGAACTTCAACAATTTATCCTTCTGTTTCTTCAGGTTGTCTATGGTGGTCATTCCAACACCATGCTCTTTTGTAAGACATTTCCCACACTGTTGTCCAGTTTATCCAGCAGCTTGACTTTTTGTGCTAGAGATAAGCATAAATGCTTCCTGTTTTTCTGTCACTTACTCAGATTTTCAACATTGTCTTTGTGCCACAAAGCAGAGAATAAGGAAAAAAACCCACAGTGAGTAATGCACAGTCTTGGCTCCATGTGGGGCATCGTGGGGAACCTATCATTGGTGCATCTGACCTGTACCTGTGCCATTTTATTACCCTTCTTTGGATGTGCTTGGGTGGGAGAATCTGTGCATGCATGGAAAAGATATGTCGGAGCCGAAGCGGGCTGAGGAGGATCTTTTTTCCTTAAATTGTATTATGTGCTTACAGTTTGACTGTGACTCATTACATGAGGGCAGGTGTGGAATTTTCCATTGTCAGTATCATGTTGGTGCTCCAAAAATTTCAGATCTTGGAGCATTTTGGATTTCAGATTTTTGGATTATGGATGGTTAACTGTATGGAAAGCTCTCTAACATAGTTTTGTGAAGTGGAAACAGTAGACAACATAACAATATTTATAAAGAAGGGTGTGTATGTGCTTCTTATATATTCAAAGGGGAGGAATTAAGAATATGTATTCATATTTGCATAAAGGTTTCACAAAAAACTAATAAAAGTGATTATTTTTGGAGGTGTTGCTGGGCACATGAGGAACAGGGCTTGAAAGGAGAGAGTTTACTATATATGTTTTTATATTGTTATAGTCTTCTGAATTTATTAAAATAAAATTAAAAACTTTGTAAAATTTTAAAAATTAAAAATTTTGTAGAAGGTCTTTAAAGAAAATATTTTCTTTCTTCTTTCTTTTTTAAATCAGTAAACTAAAAAAGCTGAGTGAAGACAGTTTGACTAAACAGCCTGAAGAAGTTTTTGATGTATTAGAGAAGCTTGGAGAAGGGTAAGTACAAAAAATATGAAAGCGTCTAAATAATTTCAGAACAATTTAAAAAATATTGTATGATATTAATCTTTCAACTAGAATATATTTGTATGAATTGAATAGTATTTAGTAGTAATTAAATTTGGCAGGTGATACTGAATTTTAAAGATTAGTTTGTGCTAAATCTGGTAATAGTGTTTTTTCAGAGAAAGTAGGCCATATATATAAGCAAAAAGCAGGAAATGTGCTGTGAAATGATTTTCAAGAGATTTGTTAGTTCATCCCTTATGGCATTCTTATTAATATGCTTGAAGGTTTTGACTTTGTTAGGGAAACGAACATAAGGCCATCCTTTTAGATCTTGGGGCTCATTTTATTTTGGAAAAGGTAAGTAGTTGATATTACAAGAATATCTTAGTGAGGAAAACAGTTTGTATAGGCAGAAGAATAGTTGACATGGTTTCAAAATAATAGTAGAGAAACATGTCTCGGTTCGAGCAGAGAGAAAGGTAGGGAGCGTTTAATGGAATGGCAAAGTATAGGAGAATTTTTAAAATAATAAAGGTACAAAACAGAATTAAAAGAAGCTTATACATCAGCAAGAACAAGGACAAGGAAATAGAGAAAATAAAAAGGTAAAATAATAAGCTAGGCCAGGCACGGTGGCTCACACCTGTAATCCCAGCACTTTGGGAGGCTGAAATGGGTGGATCACTTGAGGTCGGGAGTTTGAGACCAGCCTGACCAACATGGAAAAACCCCATCTCTACTAAAAATACAAAATTAGCTGGGCGTGGTAGCAGGCGCCTGTAATTCTAGCTACTCGGGAAGCTGAGGCAGGAGAATCACTTGAACCTGGAAAGTAAAGGTTGCGGTGAGCTGAGATCACGTCATTGCACTCCAGCCTGGGCAACACAAGCGAAGCTCCATCTCAAAAAAAAGAAAAAAAAAAAAAAATAAGCTAAACGTGATGGAAGGAATAAAATCAAGTGTATTTTTCAGTAAATGTTAATTCTCCCATTAAAAGACAAACTGTTAGAGTAAATGAACATGTGAAACCTACCTATATTTTGTTACCCAGACCAGCTATGTTACCCAGGCTGATCTTCAACTCCTGGCCTCAAGTGATCCTCCTTCCTTGGCCTCCCAAATTGTTAGGATTATAGATGTGGGCCACTGTGCATAGCTTATAAGGATATTTCTTATAAAAAATATTATGTAAGAGATGAATGTACAAATAAAAAAACAAAAAAGTAATAGCAATTTTTATATTAGATACATTAAAGTTTAAAAGATTTCAACTAAATAAAGAGGTATATTAGGTAGCGATATGAAAGACAATTTATAACAAAACATGTCAGACAACATGGCAGCTAAATTTATGACAGAAAAGCTATTAGTGATGTCAGAGGCATCTAATAAAAGTATAATTGTATGGGAGATTTCAGTGTATCTCTTTTAGAATTGGACAGATACAATAGAAAAAAGAGAAAGGACATAGAGGGAGTTAACATTATGATGAATAAACTTGATTTTATAGAAATGTAAATATATATAAAGTAAAAATATATAAAGTACCTGTATGTCTATATAACTATACATATATATTTCTTGCGGACCTGCTTTTTTGGTGTATGTTCAAGGACCATTGATAAAAGAAAAGTTAGAAATTCTAAAAAATAAGAGATTTTTACTGGTCACATTTTCTGATTGTATTAAGCTATTCATGTGTTGTTATAAGAAAAATACCTGACACTGGGTAATTTATAAAGAAAAACTTAATTGGCTCACAGTTCTGCAGACACTACAAAAAGCACGGTGCCAGCATCTGCTTCTGGTGAGGGCTTCTGGAAGGTTATAGTCATGGAAGAAGGCAGAGGGGGAGCAGATGTCTCACATGGTAAGAGCAGGAGCAAGATAGGACAGGGGAGGTGCCAGAGTTTTATTATTTTTATTTTTAAATTTTTTTGAGACAGAGTTTCTCTCTCGTCATCCAGCCTGGAGTGCAATGGCACGATCTTGGCTCACTGCAATGTCCTCCCGGGTTCAAGGGATTCTCTTGCTTCAACCTCCTGAGTAGCTGGGATTATAGGCGCCTGCCACCACGCCCAGCTAATTTTCATATTTTCAGTAGAGATGAGGTTTCACAATATTGGCCAGGCTGGTCTCGAACTCCTGACCTCAGGTGATCTGCCCACCTCGGCCTTCCACAGTGTTGGGATGACAGGCGTGAGCCACTGCACCCAGCCTGTCACACCGTTTTAAACAAGCACGTCCTGTGAGAACTCACTTACCATCTCAAGGACACCAACAAGCCATGAGGAAACTGCCCCTATGACCCAAACGTCTCCTAACAGATTCCACCTCCAACATTGGGGATTACATTTCAAAATGAGTTTTGGAGAGGACAAATATGCAAACCATATCACTGATTATACTCACTAAATTAGAAATAAGTAGTTATAATATGACAAAGTCCACACCAACTGGAAATTAGGAAACATAATCTGAAGTAACTTGTTGATTGAAGAGGATATTATAAATTATCTACAAAACACTGAAAAGGAGAACACATTGTGCCAGTATCTATGGAATACAGTAAAACTAATTAAGAGAAAAGTTTTAGTTCTAAATTCATTCATTACTAAAGAAGACAGGCAAAAAATAAACTTAGTGCTTAAAGAACTTAGAAAAATTATGAAACATACTGAAAGAAACTGAAGATTGAATTAAAGAAAAAGCTGAAATTAATGAGATAGAAAAAAAATTAAAAATGAAAAATATGAACCCAGCGCAGTGGCTTATGCGCTGTAATCCCAGCATTTTGGGAGGCCGAGGTGGGTGGATCACTTGAGGTCTGGAGTTTGAGACCAGCTTGACCAATATGGTGAAACCCCATCTCTACTAAAAATACAAAAATTAGCCGAGCGTGATGACATGTGCCTGTAATCCCAGCTACTTGGAAGGCTGAGACAGGAGAATTGCTTGAACCCAGGAGGTGGAGGTTGCAGTGAGTCAAGATTGTGCCACTGCACTCCAGCCTGGGTGACAGAGCGTGACTCTGTCTCAAAAAAAAAAAAAAAAAAAGATAAATACATATATGTTTATACATACATAAGCCTTCGAAGAGATCAGTAAAATAGTTAAACCTCTTACAGTGTTGACTAAAGAAAATAGAGCAAAAATACAGCAGATTTAGAATAAGAAGGAAGATATAGCCAGTGATAGAGAAATGATTAAATAACTGTTAATTATAAAGATACCAACTCACAGCATATTATTTACAATAGCCAAAATGTGGAAACAACCCAAATGTCCATCTACTATCCCAGATGAATAAACAAAATGTGATATGTCTGTACAAGTGACCTTTTAGCCATGAAAAGGAGTGAAGTACTGGTACATGTTACAGTGTAGTTGGACCTACAAAATATTATGCTAAGTGAAGGAAGAAGCCAGATATAAAAGGTCACATATTGTATGATTTCATTTATAGAAGTATCTAGAATAGATAAATCTATAGAGACAGAAAGCAGATTCTATATATTTTGGAACATACAGATAACGTTTACACAGCACTGTGAACCCACTAAATGCCATTGAATAGTACACTTTAAAATAGTGAATTTTATGTTGTGTGTATTTCACCTCCTCCCCTCCAGAAAGGTTCCAATTATGTTTTATACACTGTTTAAAGGACAGTTAATTATAGCTTTTTTTTAAAAAAATGAAGCTAGTGTAACTTTAATACTGATACCCAGATGTACAATAAAAGAAAACTGTAATTCAGCCTTGCTTTGTTACTCATTATGGTAACTGTTCCCACCTTGTCTCAGGTGAATAGATGTTGCCACTTCTCTTGTGTTGGGATCCTGTTATCTATTAAACTTAAGGAGCCAGTTTCACTGTTGGCATATTTGTCATCTTTCCCCTGCACTAATAGAGCTTTGATTGATGATGGTATCCTCTGGACGCTTTTTGAAAACATAGTTAGGGAGTTTGTGAGCATGGCACATATAATATATATCCATCTAGTATCCCATTTCCTTGAGTCTTTGATATGCTTCCTTTGGTGTGTACTGAGGCTCACTTAGCATCTCACTTAATATGGGCCACTGTTGAGTCCAGGGTTCAGTTAACTGGCTGAGCAACTGTTAGGGACACCCCCAACTGTTTGAGCTAACACGCTGAGTCTGGAATTTCTGGTCTTTCATCCATATCAGTACATTTCTTCCTCTCTGGATATCTTAGAATTCGCTCTCACACATATTTTTTAGGGTTCTGATAAAAATTGGCAAAATCTTGCAACTTTTTTAGTGTGAATAGTAACTGCTTGGGTTAAATTTTATACTTGTCTCCCTGGTATCTATGGGAGTTGAGTATAACTTTGGGTCTGGAAGCAATGAGAAGTGGTGGTGGAGTGGTCTGGAGGACCACTCCATTCTCCTGAAAAGTGACTGCTTCAGGAGGTGGAGTCTTCAGGCACTGTAAGGTTAATTTTCTCAGACAGGAGGGCAGAGTTGCTTTTGGTAGCAAGGGAGGCTTGATAGGATTTGGGGATTCAAGGTACTCAGATTAATGAGAATCTATCTAAATGTCCTAATACCAGTTCTCTAGGTACTTCTCTTTACTGTTACATGCCTTAACTTTAACATAACAGACCTGGTGCTGATGTGAATTCAACTTGCCATGTAATTCAGCTTCCAGTAAGACTATACCTAGAGTTTGTTTTTCAGAAATCTCAACCCTGTTTCTGTAAGAATTAAGAAATTCAGAAGTTTTCTGGTTCTCTTAGTCTTGAGCTGGACATTTAAGCCTTTAGCTTGCTGTGTTTGTTCTATAACTTTTCCAGTGCAGGCAGAGGCAGCAGCCCATTCTATAGTCCTTATACTTTATTTTCACCATACATTGTATTGATATAGCTACTTGGTCTTTTAAAGCTTTGCTTAGACTCCAGGCAACTAAGGGTGATAATTTAAGTAACTATTTGCCACTGAATGCCATAGACCATCAGTGTTCTATTTGTTATTTGTATTAAAATCATTACTATCTACGCATCTGTATTAGTCTGGTAAAGACATACCCGGGACTGGGCAATTTACGAAAGAAAGAAGTTTAATCGACTTACAGTTCCACGTGGCTAGGGAGGCCTCACAATCACGACGGAAGGCAAGGAAGATCAGGTCACATCGTACGTACACGGATGGCAGTGGGCAAAGAGAGAGCTTGTGCAGACAAACTCCCATTTTTAAAACCATCAGATCTCCTCGTGAGACCCATTCACTGTCATGAGAACAGCATGGGAAAGGTCTGTCCCCATGATTCAGTGATCTCCCACTGAGTCCCTACTACAACACGTGGGAATTATGGGAGCTACAAGATGAGATTTGGGTGGGAACACAGCCAAACCATATCAACATCTAAGAAAGAACTAATTCAAGATTCTCATCTTTAAGATTCTTTCCCTTGGAACCACTTCTTCTACCATAAACTATATTGCTATCAAGGTATAGTCAGGAAAGAGAAGCTACTCTATGTACTCGAGATATAAAGAGTTTAGTAATAAAGTTAGGAGCTCAAATGAATTGTGGAGGGGCCAGGGATGCAAAGCTCATGAAAACTGTTGCCGAAGGTTGAAGGTCAAAGTCAGCATTGAAGATCTCAGCCTGAAGCACTGAAGTGGGTGTTTCTCAAAAGCTCTCTGGGAATCGCTGGAATCCTGCAGTATTGAGAAACTTCCACCAGCTACCTCAGTCTGCAGCACTGGTGGCTGTTGGAAGCTCAGCAGGAAGCCGTTGTGCACTTCATATCTGTCAGTCCATCTGCTACAACTATATCTGGAAAAAAATGGTTTCTCCTTTTTGCATTCACACATGCATGTTCTTCCCACTGGCAGACTTTTAATGAGGAACCGTTCAGGGAAAGAGATTCTGGGAAATGGGGATTGCAGCTTCTCTTTTGTAATGCTGAGGAGTCCTTAGAAAGGAGTGATGGTGTTGCCTAATTGACAGTAGATGATCTAGCACTGAATTCTGTGTTAGCTTTTCAAGGAACATACACACATACGGCTTTCAAGGGGAGATACACGCACATACATTCCCCCACACCCAGCCCACTGTGACTTTGGGTACCAAACCAAATTAAATTACTTCAGAGAGCCCAAAGAAACAGAGGAGAGGATAAAATATATTTTATTGAAGTAGTCGCTTTATCACTTGTTTCTCTCTTTTTCACTTATTTTAAAAGATTATAAATCTGGAAGGGCTTCTGTATAGATTTCTAATATTAGGAAACATTCAGTGTCTTCCATTGGCTTGCTTTTCCTTGTCTTCTGTAGAAAAATATGGTGAGAAAAACATGATTTTTGAAGTCAGAATGTGTTTGAATTCTGGCCCTACTAGTCTGTTTCTTATCTTTTAATGACAATAATAGTGTTTTTCCTTATGGTTGTGAGGGTTGAATTTCGTAATGCATATAAAACACCTAGCACAGGACCTGGTTTATAGTAAGAACTCAGTACATAGTAGTGTTTAACCTCGTTTTTAAATTCTTACTAAGATACAAATGGCTTCTTCCTTCTTTGGTTTTGTTTTTTAAAACACGTGAATATTCAGTTGGCAAAGTTTCAGTAGTTGTAGCAGAGACAGGTTTTGGGCAAGTGACTTAGACCCTATTCCTCATTTTATTTACCTGTGAGCGTGTAGTTTTTGTCTTGAGGAAAAGGTAGTGAAAGGGACTTTTAAAAAAGACACCTTGGATCTCTAAATCAGGTAGAAGCAGATGGCTACAGATTCCTTGCTTCTCTAACTTTGATGTTAATGTGGTCCCCAGCTGAGGGTTTTAACTGTTCAGGTACTCTGAACAGACGTGTGACTTTTTGATATTCCGGGGGTCATTTTCCTTGAGATCAGCCTTTTCCCCTAATTTGAGACTTTGGCTATTTTTAATGTACATTTCATTCTTTTAATTTCCATTTATGTCTTCCTAATGCTGCATTTGTTTGAGTTGACAAAACGTAAGTCTGTTTCTTTCATTCATAAGAAAAATAGCTACTCATTATATATTAACTTGATTATTTTAAGTCTGTAGTTGAAGCAATAAAGCTAAGATATAATTCATTAACTTTTAAAATTGTTACTTGTTTATTTTGATTTTTTAATTTTTAAATAGTGTTTTAAACTAAAAAAGACAATCCACAGAAAACTCATAGACTTTTAACCTTATAGTTACGATGTTTTATAGGAAAAAAATAATGTCTTGGTTTCTTTTAGGTCTTATGGAAGTGTATTTAAAGCAATACACAAGGAATCTGGTCAAGTTGTCGCAATTAAACAAGTGCCTGTTGAATCAGATCTTCAGGAAATAATCAAAGAAATTTCCATAATGCAGCAGTGTGACAGGTATGAAGAGATTTTATTTCTTTGCTTACCCTTGTTTTGACAAGTTTTGCTAATAACGTATAACAAAATTTATTCTTTGATCATCTGTTTAGTTTTCATTTCTTTTTCTTTTCTTTTTTTTGAGACAGGGTTTTGCTCTTGTTGGCCCGACTGGAGTGCAATGGTGTGATCTCGGCTCACTACAACCTCCGCCTTCTGGGTTCAAGTGATTCTCCTGCTTCAGTCCCCTGAGTATCTGGGATTACAGTCATGTGTCACCACGCCCGGCTAATTTTGTATTTTTAGTAGAGATGGGTTTATCCATGTTGGTCAGTCTGGTCTCGAACTCCTGACCTCACGTGATCCACCTGCCTTGGCCTCCAAATGCTGGGATTACAGACGTGAGCCACCACGCCCAGCCTGGTTTTCATTTCTGACTTCCCACTGTAAGTGAGATTAATCCTTTAAGGCAGATGAGGATGGCTTTGTCAAGTGTCTTTAGGACTTACAGCTCTTTGCAGCTTTTCTGCTTAAAAGCAGAAATGAGACTGGATGTGGTAGATCACACCTGTAATCTCAACCCTTAGGGAGGCCAGAGCATCGAGGGTAAAGGAGCCTAGGAGTTCAAAGCCAGTCTGAGCAACATAGTGAGACCCTTTCTCTACCAAAAGAGAAAAAATTAGCCAGGTGTGATGGCTTGGACTTGTAGTCCTAGCTACTTGGGAAACTGAGGCGGGAGGATTGTTTGAGCCCAGGAGTTCAGGGCCACAGTTAGCTATGATTGCAGCACTGCACTACAGCCTGGACATTTTTAGCACAACTTTATGGATGAGAATGAGTTTTTGATGTTAAAGGGGTCATTTAGCAGTATGTATCGTATAATCACTTTTACTAATTAAGAAATCATGTTTTATGTAAATCTAATTCATTCAGCAAACATTCACTAAGCATCCCCAGTTGACCCAGTACTGTGCCAGGATCTAAGAATGCCAAAAGAACTAAGATACCTTTTTCTTTTTGAGGGATCAGTAGTGTAATTGGGAAGACAAATATATAAATAAATAACTGTAATATAGCACACTCATTGTACTGACTGGTGCATGGGGTAATGTGAAAAGAAGAAGGCAGGGCATCTTTCTCAGCCAGTAGAGCCAGGAAATCTGGAATGCTGACAAAGAGTTAATTTGGTGAAGAAATGGAGTGATAAGGGAGAGTCAAGGGAATGACAGGTAGAAAGGTAAAAATAGCTCATTGGGGTGTGCTCATCTGACAAGACTTAGAATTATTGGAATGGAAAGTATGGGACAGAGAACAGAATGAAATGAGGTTGGATAGTTAAATGGAGCTGATGGTGAGGAGCGTCTTATGCAATGTTAAGTGGCCTAGGCTTTATTCTATAAGGGATTCAGAGTGTATAAATTATGACTATGTTTAGCCTAAAGTTACTTAACCACAGAGGAATTTATTATTCTCCCTTAACAAAAGGTCTGCTGGTACAGCAGCAACAAAGGAACAACCAGGTCTCAGCCTTCTTTTCTTGTACTCTGTCATCCTTAGCATATACTTTATCCTCATGCTTATTACCTCAGGGCTACGACAGGGCTGCTATAGCCCCAGCTTTATGTCTACATTCCAGGCAGGAGGAAGAAAGGAAGAAGCAGGGAAGGGGCTTTCCCAGAAACCTTCAGCTTCAGTCTTATTTGTAAGAATTGTCTCATCTGTGACTTAGAACTGGTGACACAGGGTAATCTGGACACATTGTCTCCCCTTATCAATTCAGGGCCCTGTAATTAGAGATTTATGGAAAGCTTTTTCTCCTGACAATACATAGGATCTATAGATTGTAAGCTTCTTGGCTAATGAAGTGATTGCATAATCCTAGAGGAACTTTGCTGCTTGGATCTGTTCAATTTTGCTTTTTTTTAGAGTATGCTGCATATTTAAATTATGTTATATATTTCCCACAGCATGTGAAATTCAAGTGGTTGTAGAAAAAAAAAGATACATTCCTCAACTGTGGTTCCCACAATTTGATATAGAATAGGAGATGAGATAGCATAGTGCTCGGCCATCAGGTATGCTTTATACTTGCCTGATGCTAGCATTATTCTGTTATTATGGTTAAAAATAGTTCAGGAATTAGCATTGTACTTTGAGTGTTGTCTAGGAAAGTCAGGTTCTCAAATATTACTATTACATATCTCTTCCCTTAAGCTTTGTAGGTCTTGGAATCTGTCGAATCTTGCTCAGATTTCTGCAACAGCATCTTAATTGTTCACTTTGTCTTTCATTTTTGCCTCCTCCAACCCATTATCTTCCTTGAAGCTAGAGTGTTTTTTTCTAAAATGCAAATGTAATCAAGCATTCTCTGTTTAAAACCTGTGGCTCCGCATTGCCTCGAGAAATCGAGTCTCCAGTCCTTCATGTTCCATCTGGTGCTTACACCTCCAGTCTGTTCCCTGAGTTTCTCTTTTAAGTGTCTGTTTACTTGTATTCTCTATCATCTAAGTCTTAAGTTCCTTGAATTCGGGGATTGTATTTTACTCAGTGTCCTTGGATCCTGCCACATAATGGTTACTCAGATACTAATGAGTACTTCTATTTAATAATTTCTGTTTGGGCAACTCAACTAGACTATCCAGAGGGAATTACACATTTAACATTCTAAAACCAGTTTTAAACATTCCAGACAAGCCTTTCAAATTCCTGTGTGTCAAAGGCATCATCATGTACTTAGTCTTTTAGCAAGTCTGAGAATCATCTTTATTCCTTTTTATGATGCTTCTGATGATACTGAGTCTTGTAGATTTTCCTTCTGAAATGTCATCACTATCTTTATTCTTCTCGTCATTCCTTAAGGAAAGGAACCATATATTTTTCTTCATTAGCACCTGTTCAGTGCCTAGCAATATACTTTTTGATGAATGAATGAATGAATGAATGTGGTATGTATGAGGAGTATGAGGAAGAGCATTACAGATTGAGGGAACCCTAAGGAAATCAAGTACTTATTCTTGCTATGCACTTTAAGCTTTTAAAGTGAAAGAAAAGTAAAGAATACAGTGGGAAGGAAATGTGAATAGCATTCTAGCACTTTGACCACTTTATAGCAGAATGCCTTGCACATAGTAGGTACTTCTCAAATATTTGTTGAATGAAATAAATGTTGAAGCAAATATTGATGAAAAATGGTTTGTGCCTTTTAGATTTCACTGTCATATTCATATTGTAAGTATGAAGTTGCGAAGGATCAAAAATCAGTTGGCTAAAAGATCCTAAAATGCTAAAAGATAGGACAAGTGAAAAATAAATAAGGGCTGGGCATGGTGGCTCATACCTGTAATCTCAGCACTTTGGGAGGCTGAGATGGGTGGATCATCTGAGGTCAGGAGTTCAAAACCAGCCTGGCCAACATAACAGAACTCCGTTTCTACAAAGATACAGAAATTAGCTGGACATGGTGGCAGGTGCCTGTAATTCCAGCTACTCGGAAGGCTGAGGCAGGAGAATCACTTTAACCTGGAAGGCGGAAGTTGCAGTGAGCCGAGATTGCACTATTAAACTCCAGCCTGGGTGACAGAGTGAGACTCTTTCTCAAAAAAAAAAAAAGAAAAACAATTAGGAAATGACAGGGACAAACTTAGATTTTAGCTACCAAAAAATAATATTAATGTAAATGTGTTATTAAGAAATTAGCATAAAAATGATTGGAAGAAAACAGTATGAATTGAAAAATTCCCAAATAATACACTGAAATTTTGGTTAGGGAAAATGAGATATGCATTTCTGAAATTTAGCTATTAATACATTCAGCTATTTGTGAATTTGGTAAAATGTCTTGCTTTCTATACTCTATAAAAAGACCAGAGGTGGTGTTTTTATCTTTTTTTTGTTCTTTTAAGTGAATATTTAATAATGGGCTGAATACCACATGTTGGCATAAATATCTCAGGAAGTCCATCTGCTTTGTTTATTGCTGAATGTGCAGTGCCTAGTTCGGTACCAGGTACAGAGTAGACATTTAATAAGTATTTATTAAATGGATAAATCATGGAATGTTATTGCTAGACTCAACTTTTGTGGGTCAGCTAGTTTAGTGTTTTTCAAATCATACCCAGATCTAAGAAGGTACTTTTAGTGGCATTTTCTTCACTGAAGAATTGAGTAGAATGAGAACTTGATTATTGCTTTTATCTTTTTTATATATGGGACTCTTTTGAAATTTTTATTTGAGTAAGAGTCTTCTAGTGCTAAAGCATATTTAAAAACAGTTTTGCAGATACAGAAAATGAGACCTAGAGCTTTTATGTGAATTGCCCAAGATCACACTGCTAGTTAGTGACTGAGATGCAATAAGAACCCGCATTTACCCTACTCTAGGGCCAATGTTGAAGAAAGCAATGTCTGTAAAAAAATTCCAGCAGTTCAAAGTGAAGCACTCTCAAGGCATTCCTAGGAGTAGAGGTAACAACTGGTTAGCAATACTATGTGCCAGGTAATATGTACACAGGGGAACCACAACTGACACAGTCCCTACTCTCCTGGTGCTTATATGCCAGAGAAGGAACTTTTCACATTTAAACAAAGAGAAATAATGTTGATACAAATCAGGGCACACACCTATCCTCTTTTTACCTGTTCAACTAGTGTGTATTGAGTACTTCCTACTCCTAAGTGTAGCCCTGATTTGCTCTCACAAGAGATACAACAAAGAATGGGTCTTGGCTGGGTGCCGTGGCTCATGCCTGTAATCCCAGCACTTTGGGAGGCTGAGGCGGGTGGATCACAAGGTCAGAAGTTTGAGACCAGTCTGGCAAACATGGTGAAACCCCATCTCTACTAAAAATACAAAAATTAGCCTAGCGTGGTAGCAGGCGCCTATAATCCCAGCTCCTGGGGAGGCTGAGGCAGGAAAATCACTTGAACCCGAGAGACAGAGGTTGCAGTGAGCCAAGACTACGCCACTGCACTCTAGTCTAGGTGACAGAATGAGACTCCATCTCAAAAAAAAAAAAAAAAAA